TTCAGCAGAGGCTTGGGGGGACAGTATCTCCTACTGAATCATTAAATCCTGCTGGAGCTTAAGGTATTCCTTGGATAGGTCCCATCTGGCCCTGACCTGGCTTGATCCTACTTAATTTATGAGCTCTGATGGGATTGCTGCTGCCCAGGAATGACACTGTAGTAAATAACAGACTGCACTCTTAGACTGCTGCCTTCTCCTCCCCTTATAAAAGTCTTCTGTGCTGTGGTCCGTAATTAGTAATGAATGTTACCGAGGTGGATTTAGAGTACAATCAGTGGAAATCTGGTCTGATTCCACTAAACCCCTAAAATGTCATCACTGTAATGGACATCAGGATCTGCCTCATGTTTTAGCCCAGTGCTTCTGGTTGCAGTTGCAAACACTTTGTTTTTGGAAGACGTAAGCACTAAGAATCTAATGCAAGGAGACTATATAACTTTTAATGAATCAGGCCCTTGAGGTTTACTTTTCACCCATTAGTTTTGGAATGCAAAATACATAGTTAAATTAGATAATAATAATTCCCCACTATCATCCAATTATAAATCTTAATATCTATAAAAGCCCCACATGAAACAAGAGTTCTACATGACAAGCACAAAAGGATTTGTGCTTGACTTTCTTTTAATCCAACATAAACAGAAGAATAATTCAATCAATCAGTTCAAACAAGTTCTACAGCAAAAAATAAAAACTGTTATCCTAGAATGATAAATGGGGCTTTGAATACCATGTTATCTATGAGTTTGGGAAAAAAAATCTCAGACAGTATGAGGAAAAGTAAGCACAACAGAACACAGTATTAATTCAAGAAGCCCTAAAACCTGTACCAATATTTAAAATACAAAACTTTTCTTGTAAGGAATAAAAAATTACATAAGAGAAGAAACAACAATTTGCTCACAAAATGGATATTACAGTAACACTAACATAAAATAGATTCCTAATAAGCAATTTTGCAGATGTTATTTCTGCTCAGATCTCATATTGATTCAAATAACCTTTGCAATAATTAGCTGTAGCTCAAAAAAGATAAACAAATCATGAAAATATACAATTGTTCTGGACAAAAGATAGAGAGCACTTCAGTGTTTCTAGCCCTGATCTCCAATTTGCTTATTATTAGAGAAGACAGGAGTAAATACAAAAGCTGGCTATTTCAGCCAGGCAATAGCTAATGCCAAGAAGAGAATGCGCATTCAAAGCTGTCCCAACTTGCTGCCTAATGAGTAGCAATTAATCCATCTTATTGTATTTCAAAATGCTGAAGACTCCATTCACATCAAAGGGAATTTTTCAAGGCTTTTATCATTGTTCATTTAAAAAGTATAGAGCTATCTTTAGCATTTTATAATTGACAACAATATTTTCTTTTTATCCCTCAATGCGGAATGTAGAATAATGGATTTTAAAACATGTAATATGTGTGAACTGTAGGCATTTTAATGTTTCTTGTTGTCTCTGTCTAATTAATCTTGCACTATGAAAAAATATCTGAAATGAAAGTCTAAGATAGATGTATATCCTGCTGTGAAGACCTTTACTCTCTATTTATGCACAACTTCCAATCCATCTTTTCTCCTGAATGGACAGAGGTGACTTTGGCTCCCTGTCAGTGCAAAGGTGGGAAATGCTGCAACCTAACACTATGGACTGGTGTATGTGACACGGAAATACAACATCAGAGCATAACAATTCTGCTTTGCCTCCTCCGGTCTCTGCATGAGAGGAAATGTCACGAAGAGGAGCCGCCTGTCAGATCTGTCTCCACGGAAAGCTTTATCTCAGCCTCCCCTTCCGTTTTCATGAGATGAAATTTCTCTAAGTTCAGGAAGATTTTAATAACTGCAGAAAATTAAAATCTCTAAAATAGGAGTATTTTCCTGCTGTAAAAAGAATTAAAATGTACAACATTCCTGGAAGGGCTGATGGGACATCTCTACTGGTGGTCTTGAAATGCAGCAATAGCATTTACATGTGAAAATTCTCTTTCTTGCAGGCTAAGGATCCATCCGTCCAGAGCAACTGTAGGCACTTATCATCAAAGAAAAGGGACTTCGCTGGACCAAGCAGACCTTATGGCATGCAGGTGAGATTTCAATCAATTAGGTAAGCTTCAGTAATACTCTATACAATGCCATGGGTGCAGACAGCTCTGAAATCCTTCCATCCATTTGGATTTTTGCAGAAGATAAACACAGGAAGATTCACCCAAGTCCTTTCCTTGCCATGAGCAGGATTCGGAGCAAGGTGAGAGAGAAAGGTCTCTTGGTATAAAATAAAGTCAGCAGGTTCTTGGGGAACAAGAGTTCTTTGTTATACCCTTCTTCAAAGTAAGAGACCAGGAACTGAGGTCAACAGGACAGATTGGCCACATCCCAAAAGATCAATAAGAAATGGTTTTGAAGAAATGGATTGATAAGAAATAATCTTCTTTGTACGAAGAAAACCGCTAGCAACGATGTCAGCTGGGGGACAACAGCCTCCGTGCTGTGCCCCTGCAATCCTCAAGTGCCTGCCTGTGATTATTTCAGCTAAAGCAGTGCTGGCACACAGGGAACGACCATCTTCTCTGCAATACCCTGCCCCGTGTACATGTGGGAGGTGCACAGAGGGGATGTCTGGTGGCAAGAGGAAGAAATAAAGGAGATGGAGATGGCCTCGGGTCAGAGCTGACTGAACTTGTAGCTACGGACTGGCATGAAGGATCTCTGCATTAATCCACAGAGTGCTTGTCCCTCATGCTGTAGGTAGGAAACTTGATATCAGATGCATGTGGGTTTTTTTAAGTAGTAACTGCTCCCCTGGATGCCACCAATCACAAGTTTTACAGAGTAATTGCAAGCGCTGACTCGTTGCTAAAAGGGTCTGGTCCAGGTCAGAAGCAGTGCTTCCCTTGGCTACCTTCTTCTTAGTCACCCCTTCACCAGTAAATGTGGGCAGCAGCACCCACTCCAGGAGAACAAGAGCCCATCATCTTCCTGAGGAGGTTGGTGGGGAAGTCCAGGCTGCTGCCAAAATGGCCCCCGTTGAAACAATGGGCACTCATATGCCAAAATGTATTCACTTTGTCTTACTTTCACATCAGTGATATCCTTCTCAGGCAGTTTTCAAAGGACACAGGACCATACAGGTGGTTCAATATAGGAATGATAAGAAAAATGGGCAGTAGTGCTAACAAAATGTCTGGAGCCGCAAGGTTTCTTCTCAGGTCCAAAGTCAGCGGCTTCTTCCACTTTTAGGGAGTAATTGAAGCTCCCTGGCAGAAAAAGCAAGGGCTCTCTTTCTCATAAAGGCAGCTCCCTTATGGCACCTTCTTGCATCGAAGTTTCATCTTTTCCACGTGGGGAGAAAAAGGTCTGTGGTAGGCTGCAACTTCTCTGGAAGAGGCCTGTGCAAGAGGGCTGACGTCGTGCCATGGCACCTCGTTTGCTGAGACCAAGAACAGCAAGAAAAAGAGGAGGGAGATGGGGAGAGCCTGGCTCCTCTGCCTTTTCTGGGCACCCCTCCGGCTGGGGGCCATGGAGGAGTCACCAGGGCTGTGTTGGGGCTCCCAGGGGAGCTAAATCCTGAAGGCAGCATAAGTACCCAGGAGCAGGGGCAGGAGGAGCACCCCTTGACCCACTGGCCAGCAAGACCCACTGGGGAAGGACTGGGGCAGCTTTTGCTGCCAGCGATGCCTGGAGGGCAGCAAGGCCAGGGACCAGCAAACCTGTGTCACCAGTGTGCGCTCTGTCCTCACCGTGTAGTCGTAGAGAGTCGAAGCAAATGGCCCTGCAGAGCATCGGGGGCGTGGAGGTGGGAGACTCTTCCTGAAGCAATCAATTCTTTGCACTAAAATGGCGGCTCCCCCACTTTCTACTCAGCACTGGGGGAGCTGTAACCCACTGACGGATGGGAAGGGGCAGCAAGGTCTGAAGCTTTTACAAAATATTTTGTTGCCCTAACAGTTCTTTCCTCCTTCAGGCGACTCCTTAAAATGAAGAATAGCTCTGGATCTCTACTGCAAATGGCATCTAGGCTAGAGGTCTCAACTATTACTAGGGTTTAGCTAGCTTCTTTCTTCTGTGGAAAGCTTCAATAAAAATCAGACAGCAGGTGCAGTACTTAAAAATATTTTTTGCTTTATAAGCGTCTTCATATTTTAAGCTATTCTGGGCATTCAGAAAGGGAAGTGTTTTAGAACAGTAAATCCAATATTTTTGTTAGGCTCCTAGGCCTGTATTTTGGGCTTCCTGATTTTTTGTAGCCCTGAGTGCTCACCAGTCCTATAAAACTCCCTGAGAGCTGCTGGTGCTGAGCACCTCTGCAAGTAAGGCCACCTATTTACATACTTAATTTTAGGCATCAAGGATTGACAATTTAAGCTTAAAATGCTACATATCTCTGTATTATTGCACCCTCGGTTAAAAAGCAGTATGTTTAAGCTGTCTTAGTTGTTCTTTACGAACCCCAACTGCTCAGCCAGTGCAGCTAAAAAGCCAGCCACCAACAGCCATACAAGCTTGCCAGCATGCTGCCCACTGCGGACGAGAAACCCAGTGCTTCTGTCAAGGAGGCCTGTTACAAAGCCAGGCTGTTATTTATACGCTGCAGTTCCAGGATCGTGGTAAGCATCCGCAGTGCTCACCGCTTAGTATTGTGAAATTACTTTCTGAAACATTTTGCTTTTCAGCTAGAACAAAAACATGATTTTTTCTCATCTGGAGAAAGAAAAAATCAACAAAAAGAAAAAAGGGGGGAAGTAAAAGATTTACAAGTTCCTTCACTCTTTATTAAAAAGAAAAAAATCAACAGCAAAAACTGCAAAACGCCCTCTTCCACTTTTAAGTAATGCGAAAACAAAACAAAAAGAGTCCCAAGATCTCCACTGGAAAACTTGAAAATACAAGCAATCCAAGAAACCCCTATTAAGCATTTCCAAGAGTTTCTTTTTAGCCTTAGAATATATTTTATGGAAACCAGGGAAAACAGGGACATGTACAATGCATCACATCAGATTAAGCAAACATACTTAATATTCCCTGAACAGGACTCTGACTGAGGCTCTCCAAAGATTAAATGTCAATATTTTGCTTTAAAAAATAAAATTTCAGGGAATCTTGTAAATAGTACATAACTTGAGGTGATACTAGACTGTACTCTAGAAACACCTTATAGTTAGAGCAATCTTGATAAGCTGTGCTCTCTGGCACTTGGAATAAACGATCTATTTTAAGTATTCTTCATAGCATTTCAAAAGCACAGACAAAAAACATTTGGGAATGGAAAACAATTACCCCAGTTACCCCTCCGGAAAAAGCAAAAAAGAAAAAGCATCTACACAACTGCATAAAAACCCCGTGTATTTAAAAACACTCCTAGCACTCAACTGTTTACAAAAAAAAAAATAGACTAATGGGTTAAAAATCAGGTTTAGGTGCTGAGCTGTTACAAAGAGTAGTTTACTTTGCATTTGGACAGTGTTAAAACAACGTTTTTAATGTGGATGCTAGTGCAGAAACCGGAGATTAAACACAAAGAGACGCAGACAGCTACCACATGCAGGAAAACGAGGTTACAGGCACGGCAGCACCAGGCGCTCGCCCATCACCGCGGGGAGGAGGAAGGGACAGGCATAGCAACCACAAGCCCAAAAGCAGAAAAGCGCATACCTTCAGCTTGGAATGAAAATCACGAGATTTCCTTCTGGCAAGAACCTGAATGTGACTAGACACCTGCAGGGTAGGGGAAGGGAGGAAACAAAGGAAAAGCCTGTAACCATGGAGATGAAAAGCCCCCTACAACTGGGCAAGCCAAACGTACCTTAATGGCGGCTTGAATTTCTCGAACTTTCTTTCTTGCTAAGACCTGTATGTGACTAGACACCTACATTGTTCAGGTTTATAGGGAAAAAAAAAACAACAAACAAAAGAAAAACAAAAAGCAAATCAAATTTAAAATGTTTATTTTTTTCTTTTTTAAAAAAGTAACTTTTCTGAGGGGAGGAAGTTATTTGCATCTTCAGTAAGCTCTGCTGTTAAAGATACCACATTCCCAGCCAGATACCAAGCTCTTAGCACCGAGGCTTAACAATACAGGTCATCGCTGCAGTGACTTGATTAAGGAAAAAAAAAGAAAAAAAAAAAAGGTGCAACCCAGGTTGTGCATTCAGCTACAAGATAGAAGAGAGTTCTCAGTTGGATGCAGCCCACGTGCTTTGGTACTGATCCCATCCATGGCCAGGCCCTGCGCTGTCGCGCTGGGAGCCGAGAGGATTTCTACCCCATCTGCCGGGGATGCAGATGCCCACTCTGACCATTTGCCACTAGGCTCGAGACATAACTTGGCACCGAGAAGTTTTATCCATTATTTATTGTGTTCTGCAGCTCCAATGAGGAGCCTCAGGCTGTATTTTGACCCCACTGAAATACTCTAAATTCTGGAACAAACAATAAAATACTGCACAGCATAGGTCCCTGAACCTGTGCTGGCTTCCTCAGTAATCTCAGCATGAAGTCTGCCCACAAAACACTCCGGTAAGTGGGGACCAGTAACTTGGCATCAGCTTGAGTGATGTCCAAGTTTGGCCCATTGTCATTACATTTTGGTAAGAAATTTGTGTAAACCCAGTCCTGCCCTAAATCAGTTATTGGTCAGAAGTTGTCGCCTGTGCAGTGAAGGGTCTGGGCCCAGATTCACATTCCTTTTTACTCAGGCAGGTACTGAAATCCATGCTAGATGATGAGGACTTAATGATGCTGCCCAGCATCACTCGGTGGTGCTAAGCATCCTACAGCCCTCTGTGTGAAGGTTTAAAACATGCAGTGATGGTAAAAACTGCTAAAGAGAAATCTCTTATTCTTATTTGACCCAGGGCATACAATATCGAGTGTTGTACATTTTTCCTAAGTTAGTTACAATTCCTGTCTGTGTTGTACATTTTTCCTAAGTTAGTTACAATTCCTGTCTGGGAAAGAACATAGCAAAAGAAAAGGAGAAACAAAGCTTGATTTTCTCCCTCTGTAAGAATATTCCATGACAATAGTACCAAAAAGCCTGTATTTTTAGTAGGGAAGCAAACAGTAATGCATAAATGAGCACAGCCCCTGAAGGCCACCTTCAGAGATTTCTTCAGGAAGCAGCTCAGGAACCAGTTTGCAGTAATTCAGAGTTATACTATTGCTTACTAAGCAATTTTGTAGTCAAACTCGTAAACCAAGTTTTCACACGTGTTCATTTGTTTTGCTTTCAGTGGGATATTAGTGGTGTTAAAGGTTATACAAGAAGCACAATCGTAACGTTTAATTGCTCAGTTGAAACTCAAAAGTAACAACAATCAAACTTTTCTAAACACTCAGTCTAAAGTGATTTATGAATCGCTATAGAGGGATGTACAAGTACAGAGGCAGAACATCGCCATATGTAAGCCATCACAGCCCTGTTGGTTTCACCACAGCCCTACCAGCACAAGGATCTAGCCCCAAGGTCTGCATTTTGACTCCTGATGTGATTTTAAGATCTCAGCGTAACCCCCGACTACTGGAGCTCGCATGGGCATAGCAGGGAAGAACCTGGGACTTTGTCTTTTGTTTCAGATTTCTCTGCCAATCTTTTGTTTGTTGCTTCTCCATGTGCTGCAGTTTCTCTCCTTTCTCATGTCTTTTTCATCCCTTGTACATACGCTTTCTTCCTAACTGACAAAGGACACCACCCAGGGCAAAATATCACCCAGTCCAAAGTGCTTTAAATCCGAGCACTGGCAGCAGGCCATCTTTGTGTGTGCTGACTCAGCGTCACCTTTCCCTGCATTACAAAACACGCGTAGCATGCAAGTGTACGAGCCTCTGCCTTCCCCTTCGTCACGCACGTGGATGAGGAGAAGGGGAATCTTGCACTTGACGTTAGAGAAAGTGAGGGGACTCTGCGATTTGTGAAGCATTTTGAAACAGCGCAAGGGTTTAGTAACCACTGCATAAACTACACAGTGTGTGCCTTCTGTGAGGCTGCTGATCACTGTGGATATTGTAAATTAAAGGATTTAGTCATATGAGATAAGTTAATGGTTATGTGATAATAATCTGAAAAAGACTTAAGACTGGTTGGAGGTTTATTCTGACTCTTTGATGAATGAAATCTTACCGTGGTCATAGACCAGGAGCCTGAAGGCTCTTAGGCAATTTTTTAAATTACTTTTTCATCCTGTAGCAAGTACTGCCTGTGAGCTGAGAGCATGATTAGGATCTGTCCTGCTTGATAGTTTTTATTTATTTACCTCTCATATCCAAGGATCATAACCTCTATTATATAGGTGAATTGGCTGGACTTTTAGAAGTTCCATTATTCACCATCTCAAAATAATTATTATATTCTGTAATTGTCCTTATAGAGAAATAAGGCACAATGCTTTATGCTTCTGCTTCAACTTTTGAATTTTTTTTCCCCCAAATACAGGGGATAATAGCTTTATGTACACATAGGTTAATAAAAAATGCATCCTCAAACCGCCACTGAAATGATGCACAACATAAACGGAGTTTTAAGTATTTTCTAAACAGCATGTATTTAATCTGAACAGTGAAGTCAATACATCATCTCATCAGAGCTGAAGCACAGACAGCCACTGCAGCCAGAAACGCCATGTTTTGTCATTCACTGACATGCATACTTCCCCACTGGGTTATTTTACCTGCTTCCTGGTCCGTGTCTTCCCTGTTCTAAGTTTGATGTATCTGGCTATCAATTCATTCCTACCTGCAACAAAGAAAAATTCATTATAAGGGACAAGCAGCATCACATCCATTTACACCATCAAAATACCACATTTAGACATAAGAATTCCATGCATATGAGGCCTATGTTTTCTTACACCTACTCCACTTTTCCTTTGCAAACTATTTATCAGTAATTTCTCATTGTTGATCAGTATTTCTCTTCCCTCTCCTTAACAGACATTTCAAGTCTGCAGACACTGAAGTCCTGCAGCTGTTTGCAGGCAGAGAGGCACCTCCTTGGTCAGCAGTGGTGCCCAGCATTATCTCTCACTGAAGAACCCCCTATCCCAGGGGCTGAGACAAGGTCTGGCCTCCTCTGGTTTTGGTTCTGACTGTACCGGGTGCCGTTTGCCCCCCTGGACCTCTGTTAAGAGGAGCAGCTGCTCTTGAGAAGGTCCTGTGCCGTGCGAGCCAAAGTGCCAATCACCCAGATGTTACGGTTTCACATCAGCTTTTCTCCGAGTTTTAATTCTATGAAGAGGACAGCAAAATCTGTCCTTCCTGCCAGGAAGCACTCTGCCTCCTCCACTGACGGAAATCACTGTCCCAGTTCAGCAGAAAAAAAAACAGCAGGTTATCAATCACACCCTTAACTCTACGCGCAAGTGTGGTCACCCTGCGGTGCCTAAGTTCCTGCTGCAGTGGGGCCGATCAACACAGTGGTTTGTTATTTAGAGCTCTATTTGTCTTGGAAATGTATAGTATTTCCAAGTTTCTAAAATGGCTATTTGACTCTTCTTCAGTCACACATTAAGCTGCCTAATACATACTAACATTTTCTTTCCAAATAATTTCCTTTCTAAATATTGCTGACATGGTAGATAACACAGTTTTATGTGGTGCCCCGTTTATTTTCACTGCATATTATGTTACTTCTCCATGAGTTGTAATAACTTAAATATACTTGTTCAACAAGTCCTAAGTTATGGAGCTATTTGAATTCAGCACAGGGGATAAGCAGCCCGTGTGTAGAAAATGAAAAAACTGATTTAGCAGCAAGCTGAAAATGGGGAGGTTAAGAAAATAACTTGTCACCCACCAGGTTATTTTAAAGTGGATGAGTACATAGCTGGGGAGTGCAGAAAGTTATTCTATCAGTCACGGACTCAAACTCTTTCAGTTTGATGTTGTGGGGGAGAGACAGGGAAGTTTTGAAGTAGCATGCCTATGTCTGAAGGGTATTTTGTTGACTGGAAGATTGAACACAATTAGTCAAACTGGACCTTCGTTTTCCCTTTTCCTTCTGTCTTCCTCTATGAGCCTTATTTTACACCCTTTGTATCAAATGTCTCACGGCTCCTGTCTTTTCCATGGTTTGTTTGCTAAATGGGTACTAGAATATGAGATATCAACATGCTTCAGAGTAGAGCTATGTTTTCTCCGATTCCCTTTTTGTTTTGGTCTGGACTGTGTGCCAGGTTTCCTGCAATGCACCACTGTAATGGCCATGTGAGGTTTGTAACTCTTCAGGACAGACTTCAAGAGGTAAATTTTGCGTGAGCAAACAGCTAACCAAACAAGCAACGTTTTCTGCACACAAATGAGGGATTTCCATGTGCAAAAGGAGCAGCTAGTTACCTCATTTCACGCAAAGACCTTGTCTTTTGGCTGGACAGCAGTTCTGCAGCCTGCCATGCCCATAAGATACTTGCCATTTGCAGTGAATAAGAGCCTTTGTGTTCATGGGGTGAAACCAGGGAATGCTCAATCTCTGTATCTCTCTATTCTCATGTTCTTTCTCATAATCCAAACAGTTCACTTCAGATATGAAGAATTAGTTTTCATAGTGGTGGCTGTCCCCTATGTCCTTCTGCTGTAACAGCAGCTACCTCACAGCGACAGGACCGCAAATTCACTTGCAGGTGTTGGGCATGGACAGAAATGGAGCCGCTCTACTCTTCGTTAATATTAGATGGAACAGTTATACAGTGGAAAAATATCATACAGCTTGGGAAAAGGAATAGACAGAGAGGTCAAGAGCCTGAGGCCATGGCAACGAGAAGGGAGAGGAAAAGGTATAAGACGATGGCACATCGTACTAAATGTGCTTTGGACAAGAGTTTTCCAAAACCCTGTTCCTTGGTACTTTTTATGCCTCTGCAGTGTCCCTTTAACGAGTACTAGGCTAGCAGACAGTAAAGAGGTACACAAAAATGGGGAGAAAAACAGGAAGATGCATTTCATCACCTGCCAATGGGGAGCCCAAAGGGGTGGTAGCCTGCAAGAGCAGCCCTCTGCGATCCAGTGAGATTCAGAGATCACCATATTCCTTCAATCACTGGTATGACAGGTGGTATGAACATTTTCATATTTCTAAATGCACATTTGATTTCATTGGGGAATGTCCCCCCTCCACAAAGTACCTTCTTTGCATATCTTTAAGTATGTGCATACATTAAGCACCCAGAATAGTTTTTTGGTGCAAAAAGCATTGTCAGGTTGTCCTTAGCAGCAGCCAGTGACTCTGCAAGGTCAATGACTCTGTAAGGTGATGTAAGGGATGCATTGCCATCTCTCGTCCCTCTGTCTGTACTGAAGATGTTTCAGATACATGGTCACAGCACAGGTCACTCCAGCCATCCCTTGCCCATTAAGGCAGTCCTATGCAGTCCTCAGCTGTAGCTGAGGAAGGAAGAGTTAAACCTTCTCACAGTTTCACAGTTTTCTTCCCAGTCGAGAGAGCTAAAAACCTCTTTTTAAAGGAAAGCTCAGATTCCCAGGCAGCCACTTGACAGGAAAAGCAGCTTTATAAAAAACACCAAGCACTGAAAGTCTAGACTGTATTATTCAAAATACCAGCCAAGTGCCGTCTCCAGTTGAGCCCCACTCCATCCATGAAGTGCTTTGGCTTGAATCAAGGCAGGGTTTCTCTAGCCACTATCTAGCCCAGCAGGGGTATGACTAACAAGATTGTGGTTTCGCAAAGTCATCGATTCCCCTTAAGGTGAAGTCTAGCCAGAGCCTAACTCAAGAAGAGTCAACAGGGTGGAATAATTTGACTTAACTTACAGTGAGGAGGAACTCTACAAGGAGCCATACAAAGTGGCCAAGGCAACAGCCTTACGTTTTCCTTACAGCCATATTTTCAACACAGCAATGGAACATGCACCAGGTTTAGCCAGAGCAGAAGATACTGCAGCCTCATGAGGCTCACTAAACATCTTCTGCCCAGCCACAATGATCTGAAAAGACATAACTTCTTTTTTGGACTACCAAAAAGCCATAAACACAAACATAAGCACTACAGGACATATACAAGATAGATGCCCCCTTTACAGCTTTTATGTTATCTACCAAACGCTGGTGCTCTTCTTTACCAACTCTGACAGATACTAACAGAAAAGATCTTATCTCCTGACAACCAGGGCCCAGAGAGGCTTTTAAGGAAAGGAAGGCTGAATAATCCTAAAAACACCCTTTCCTGTTCTTGGGAATGAGAAGAGTCTGAAACAAAAGGAGGCTCAAGGAACTTCTTTAATTGGCCATTAGAAATCTTAGGGGGAAAAATGCTCATTAATAAATAGATCTGTTTTTCTCTAAGAAGAGCTCAGCTGTGGAAATACTTTCCATACACGCCCTCCCTCACGCTCCCTGTCATATATATCTGGGAAATTGCCTGGCAGAAGAGAAGAGGTCAGGTTTATGAACTGTAAATGTTCATCTCCTTCTTCTTGTCATCTGCTATGACAGTCTCCTACTTTGAATGTTTTGGTTCAGGTATCAAGGAGAGGCGTGGGGAGGTGCCCAGTCAAATAAAACATCTTCACAGCACAGGAATCTTTTTCCAAGGATCTTGAAAGGATTAGGAGAGGACCAGAACAATTATTTTATATAGGCGGCTTCTTGTATTTTTTTTTCTCCTTTTAAATTCAGGCTTTATCTGTCATGTCCTTCTGTACTGTCAGTGCAACTGCAAATTATAATTCTCCCTGGACTGATGCTGAGGAAGAGGCATTTTACACCACAGAACACCTTTTTTAATCATGGCGGGAAGTAAAAAGGGGGTTCAGCTAGAAAACACTGCAGGTGCTAGAAAACCTGTGAGGCTCCACACGGTGCCAAAGCCTCACTGTGGTCCCTCCGGGAGCACAGACGGGCCCCCAGGGCAGCCCTGGCTCCTGCCAACCAGCAGGACACAGGCCCCCTCTGCCTTCCCAAAGTACTGCCCCATCCATGAGGAGCATCACCCTAAACAAGGGAGTGTGCAGTGATCCCGGACACCTCACAGGCGGCATGGAGGACTGACATTTCTGCTCTTCTTGTTCAAAATAAGTAGAAGCAGCTGCAAAGCAGGGAGGCTCCCACCCGCGTCTCCCTGGGGGAGGCAGTTGTTGCTCTAACAGAGGGCCCTTGTGCGGGGAAGCCTCCCCCACTAACGTTATTTCCAAAAACAGCCTAAAGCAGCCAAGCATCAGCCCCCACAAAGGCCTCCACAAGGCTGCCGGGTGCCACCCTTGGTGCTGAGGGTGGGTTTGGCCCCACTTGCCCAGCATGGGCAAGGCCCCCAAAGGTGAAAATCACCCCCTGGGTGAGGAGGACATAACCGGCAACCCCTTCATGAGCCAAAAATGACAGAACCACCTCTGCACAGGAGCCACCAGGCCACCACAGGCAGCTCTACCAGGACCTACGTGAGCTGTGGACATGGCCCCAGCCATGCGTGGTCCCTTTCCCCAGGTCCCAGCCACAGACATCACTGCTCAAACCCAGTCCCTGTCGGCAGCGGGACAGCAAGCCGGTGCATCACGTCCCTGCAGAGCCGCCGGCTGCGTGGCGGGCAGGCATCTTTATTTAGAAAATTAATGACACAAATTAAACCTCCGCCCTCCCAGCTCCCAGTAATAGCCACCATCCGAATGTGATAAAAATAGAAAAGTGTGGGAAATCAAGCCGGTTAGCAATTTGAAAATGAACAGCTGATTTTAAAAAGTTTTCAAACTCAGCAAAATAATCCAAGTAATGACAAAGTAGAAAAGCTTA